TCAAAAAAAAGAATTAGTTCGGGATAATCAAGTAAGAATACAGCTTATAATTTTGAACTATTTTCAAACACGCCACACAAACAAATAACTATGATTAATTTCATTAAATTTTTTCACATTTGCATTTCGACTTTAGCCAGAAAACTAACTAATTTAAAAAACAGCACCTCAGAATGAACAACCAGAGGGTGACTCTTATTAAGAATGTTGTCATGTTAGCTTTCGGGCCAAAGAGAGGGAGCGGAGATAGACAAAGGATTCGTTTAACAAGAATATTTTTGCCCACATTGAACAGCAGTTACGTTGACAATCCATGTCAGTTTCTAAATCTTATAGAGTGTTTCCTTCGGTTTTAGTTTGTTACCCGTATTTTTTTTCGAATTATAGCTATTGAACAGCGGTATACTACTGTTGCCTTTATTTGTACAACAAAAAATAGGTACAACCATGGATCTTTATTTAACAATTATCTGATCTTTCGTATCAAACAGGCATTTGGGTTCACGATTGCATTTCTTTTTTTAAAGAAAGTAACTTGTTTATCTCATTGCTTTTACTGTTTTCACAAATATAATTGGTCATCTACCTATGTTCATTTTAAGAAAACATACAATTATAATTGGTTGCATATAATATATGATAAACCTAATATTGTATATGATATTTATAACCACCTACGCATTGATGCCTTAAATGGTAAGAGAAACTGGGTTTCAAATGTTCCCGATTTATTATTTAGTTTAGGTATGAATTATGTATGGATTGATCAAGAGAACATTAATGTAACATTTGAATATATAAAATGTCGTATAAATGATCAATACTACCAGAACTGGTTTGCTATTTTGAACGATTTTGAAAAACTGTGTTTATATAGAAAATTGAAAAATGATTTTTGTTTAGAAGATTACTTAAAGTATGATTTTAATAGTAATACACTCACTAAACTACGTAATGGAACATTAAAACTGAATATAGAAGTTGGTCGTTTTGACAATATTGTAAGAGAAAATCGTATATGTATATGCTGTCATATGAATTGTATTGAAAATGAGTACCATTTTGTTTGAGTATGTCCTGCCTTTAGATCATTAAGGCTAAAGTATTTACCAAAATATTATTGTTCATGGCCAAATAATAGAAAGCTTGTATTTCTTTTACAGGCTAGCTCAAAGAATTTAACTTACAAATTGTGTAAATTTCTTAATGCGGCATGGAAGTTAAGATTACAAATTATTATTGCATAACATTTGTAGTTCTGTGCTTGTTAAGACCGTATTGTGTTGTTCTCTGCATGTTTACTGTCATTATTGTCATTATATATTATGTTATTTTGCTATAGCATTATATTTGCTTCTGCAATAAAATATTCATTCATTCATTCATTCAAATACAAAATATTTTTGGTGTGATTTAATTTTTTCCAACTTAGACATTTAAGGGGAGATAACTCAGATTATTTAGTTTTATAAAGGAATGTACAGTTATTTTACCTATATATATTTGTTTGTAGCAACAACAAAATGAAGGTCAGTGACTCCTGTTTTTATTTTTATTTTCGGAAAAAGGCACATTATGAAAGCTATCTTCTCATTCTTTTATTTTAAAATTGTATGGCTTAGTTTTCTTTCTATTCATACAAAATTATTTTTTCATGTATATCTTTACAAAATCTGACAATTTTGCACAACCTGTAGCTTGATGGAAAGTCCCGTGATCCATACTTTTTATTGTTATCTTGAAAATAACATGATATAAACTACATTTTTTCAAAGTATAAAAAAAACTATCGTTTTTAACATTTATTATGCACAAATTTTCTGTTCACATATAAAGTTAATAAAGGGTCAGCGCCTTCGGGCTTAGCTTTTATTCACTCACAATACAAGGAATCAGAAATAAGGAACAATGTGTACGACTATTCCAATTACCTCTAATACCTTGAACGAGTATGAAACAAAAAAAAAATGTGGCATTAGTACCGATTGACAAGAAACAATGTCGGTAATAATAATGTGTTTGAAAATGTCTATTTAAAATTCTGCAAGTGCCTACTTAAATTGAAAACGTTGACACGTGGCGAACTATGGCACATTCAAAAAGATAAACATGTAGAAATAAAAAGACTGGGACGGTTTATGTTTTGGTTTGTATTATTTGTGGTAAACATACAAAATACTAGGTAACATAATTTATAGAAATCAAAACTTCTATATACATGTATATAAATAAGAAGATGTGGTATGAGTGCCAATGAGACAATTCTCCATCCAATTCACAATGTATAAAAAGTAAACAATTATATGCAAAGTACGGCCTTCAACACGGAGTCTTGGCTCACACCGAACAGCAAGCTATAAAGGGTCTTTTGTAAAACAATGCAAACAGGAATCTATATAAAAAACGAGAAACTAGAAACACTTATGAACCACACCAACAAACGACCACCACTAAACAACAGGCTCCTGATTTAGGACAGGTGCATACAAATGCAGCGGGTTTAAACGTTTTAACAGGCGCCAACCTTCACCCTAACCTGAAACAGTAGTGTAACATTACAACATAAAAAGACACACTATAAAATGTCAACTGAAATGGCTTAACTAGATCAAAAAGACATATAAACAAAAACAAGTAAACATACACTGAACGAATAAGTTTGATCTATGACACAATATAGATACAATATTAATAAAAAAAAAGATGTAGGAACAATGTCAAAAAGACAACTCTAACCTGGGACAAAATGGCGTTAAATAAAATAACGTACACAGGTAAATTTAACTTGAAATACAATAATTTTGTTGTTAGGAGTACGGAAACATTTTTTACAAAATAAATAAATTTGTTGTTCACAGGACGAGTACAGAAGTGAATATTTATCGTCATACTAAATATTTATCAAAGATGGTACATATTAAAAATAGTGAGAGTCTCAGACGAGATATAACACAGAATAAGTAAGCATATATGTTCACAAATCACAATGTAAATACTAGTATATATATGAATGTTTTTTTTTTTTGTATTTTTTGTTGTTTGTTTTTTTTTTTTTTTTTTGTATATTCAACAAATAGTTGATTATGAAAGGATTTAGGACGTTATTGAAAATATTTGAAAATTTCAATTAGAATACATTTTATTAAAACAAAATGTTATATTTCTAGTTTTATCAACATATTAAAAAAATAAAAGAGAATGTATATTTTTAATCAATCTGTTAATGTTGGAAAATACAATAGTGAGAAAATACTCATTAAATAGATATGATTCAGTTATACGAAATACAAACATTCTCTTTGGTACAAAATAATTAACAATAGCAAAAAGTCAAGAACCTTATTAAATTAGTTGTTTAGCACGCGTACGGAAGGTTATAGGTTGCAGGACAGATGTATGGCGAATTATCATTACGTCAAAGGTTATAACCATATTCACAGAATTATAGATTAGCTTCAGCCTCATGAATATTCAGTAGTACATTAAGCCACGCAAGAATGTTAATAATAACCAATCAAAATGCTGAGATAGGATGATTGATCATATATCACTGAATAAATAAAATAATAATTAAAAATTAACAAATCTTAATGATCTTCTACTATAAAGATCGGAAGCTCAAATTCTTTTTGAAATATAATTGTATTCAATTTTAGAAATGATCATCTTAATGTTTTTCAAATATAAATAAATACATTTTGCATATTATGAAGCAATAAATATGTTGGCAACACATTCCATTGTTTGCAAAAGAAGCTCAATTTCCGCTGGGGAACGAGAATGTCGGGTATTCAATGGTGACTTATAAAAGCAAATATAAGTCCACTGCAATATAAGTCCACTGCCCGTCATCCTTATTCCTACCAGCAAATTGAGTTGTCTTATTTATTTCATTAAAAAGGTCGGACGGCGCGAGTCCCACTCTCGCTGCCAAGCCAGTCCAAAACAACGACATGTAGTCCCCAGATATCCAGACATCTTTTTACCTACAAGAACCGTAGAAGAACCTGGCAAACGAGAGAAAGAAAATGACCATCGTATCTATCAATATAAAAATCAACAACAACCACGGTAATTCCTTCCACAACAAGTACAATTATTTCCGTTTCAACCACACTCATAATTCCTATCACAACAGTTACATAACAACTATGTATGGGACACTCAGGATTTCGATAATGAAATATGTTTGAAAACCATCATCAGAGGCTTTAACACTAGTTCATCCAGTAGTGGTATGACGATATTGAAACTTCCAGAAAGGCATAAAACTAAAAGATCTTAAACACGAAATTATAATTTTGAAGAAAAATCAACATTATTTTTTTCAAAATTCTGTTAAGCCCGTTCATATGCACACATTCGCATATGTATGCTTTTATAAATATAAAATTCGAAAGGACAAACCAAGGAAATTATTCATTTTTTAGAAAAGTAGTTAACCAAAAGTTGAGGGTATTAATTAAAAACACAAGAACTATATTCTTTGCTGGAAAACAGTAGCAAGTGTGTCATTTACAAAAATATTATCACAAACCTAGCTTTACAATATACCTTGACTTATTATAGTCCTCTTTCATACTGGAAGGCTATTACACAAATAATACCATCTTCAAATTCATTAAATATTGAGACTGGTCGTTTTCTAAATGTACCTGTAGTGGTTCGTTTATGCAAAGTATGTGGTCAATGTATCGAGGACGAGTTCCACTTCATTCTTGTGTGTTTGGTATATAGAGACTTGCGGGTAAAGTTTATAAAACAATACTACTGGTATAAACCGAGCGTATTTAAACTAACATAGTTGTTTAGTCTACAAAATGTTTAGCAGTTGACTTTTTTTTTTGGGGGGGGGGGATTTATTATCCTGGTATTTAAAATTTTACAAAATAATTAACATTCTCTGTCTGCATGTTTTATTGCAATGATAACTATTATTTCGTGTATACACCGATGAGCTGTAAAGTATTAATATATATAAGAATTGTATTGATCTAAATAAATGCTCTGTTTGGATATTCTTGAATGCAAAATGCAAAATTAAAATTATTTGCGCTGAAATTTATATTCCATTTTGGATATAACTAGTATCCTTAACAGATAAAATCCCAATTGGATGTTGGTCTCAACTTATTTAAAATAAAGAAAGCAAGAGAAGACAAAAAGCGAAGAACAATGGACAAGAAACGTAGACGGACACTCTAGCATTAACGACACATAACAAAAATATGATGATATTTAAATCTTTAAGTTTTTAATTGAAGAAAATGTAATATTTTTAGTCTTCTACACGTGTTCATATATCGCAATGACTACATCTGTGGGCATATCCACTCTGAAAAATATATACAGCTACAGTTAAAACATGATGTAATTCAAGTTGACCAGATAATAGTGAAGTTTCTTGGAAAAAAGATAATAAGAAAATAATTATTTCTACAATTATGTATTTAACATCATATTTTGCTATTGTGTTCGCAAAGATTTGTAAAAGAGGGGCGAAAGATACCAAAGGGACATTCAAACTCATAAGTCGAAAATAAACTACAGTAGTTGTCGTCTGTTTATGTAGTTCATACGTTTTTCTCGTTTCTAGTTTTTATATAGATTAGACCGTTGGTTTTTCCATTTGAATGGTTTTACATTAGTAATTTTTTGGGGCCCTTTATAGCTTGCTGTTCGGTGTGAGCCAATGCTCCGTGTTGAAGGCCGTACCTTGATCTATAATGGTTTATTTTTATAAATTGTAACTTGGATGGAGAGTTGTCTCATTGGCACTCATACCACATCTTCCTATATCTATTGACAACGCCATGGCTAAAAAGAAAATGACAAACAGTCAAACAATAGTACACAAAACACAACATATAGAAAACTAAAGACTGAGCAACACGAACCCCACCAAAAACTTGGTGTGATCTCAGGTGCTCAGGAAGGGTAAGCAGATCCTGATCCACATGTGTCACACGTGGTGTTGCTCATGTTAGTACAAACCCGGTAATAAGTCTAATTCGGTAGGTCACATTCGGGAAAAGGGGACGGGATTGTAGTTACGACATTAGGAACATATCCGCTATCATCTGTGAAATGTGAAACGGATATTCCGTAACGATCAACCAACTCGTGATGGCGTCCGTAAAATTGTAAAGCATGTTAATTAAGAGATAGTAAAAAATAAACATTAGTATTATGATCGAGTTACCTTATCAATATATTAAAGAAATAATGGAACTTTAAATTGTCAGCAACAAAACTTACCGTGGAACAATAACACACATTGTGACATTTCCCAGACTTGCCACAACATCCCGGGTTACCATAACGTAGTTCACATACAGCTGAGCACAGGGCATTACCTCCCGCTGGACATGAAACGTGTATATCCGGTAAGAGGAAACTGCTAATTTGTTGACTACAAAGTCCTATTAACAACGTAAAAAAACAATTCAAAGAATTGAAAGACTTCTCAATTCAGTCATACTATGAAACTAAACAATAAAGTTGATAGCTGCAACCTTGGATTACGACTATGAATAGTAATATAGACATTATTATTTCATAATCTATAAATATAGTTGTTTGGGATGGGATCATACATGAAGCTTTGTCTGATTTTTGGCGGAAGCTCCAAATTAAGAATACGGCATGCAATCACCAATTAACCCTTGAAAACCATTTTCCTAAAATTTGATAGTACATATAGCCCTTTGTTGTCTTTAATATCGATATTGTGAAATATAAAGTCTATCTTAATTTGTTTTTTATTGCATGAGCCTTTTTAACTGTTCTTGTGTTTTTTATGCTCTATTAAAGTTATCTCATATATTCTTTTATTCGGACATATTTATAGAATTAATTGAGAACTCTGATTATGGCTTCTCAATCTAAGATGCACATTTTTAATGTATACCAAATATATAGCAAACAGAAAAACAGCATTGACACTTATAATATGTGTTTCGTCTTTTTTTAAATTACAAAAGAGTTTGAATAACAATTAATTTTCTTACCTAGAACGACCACCACTAGAAACAATTTTACTGACATTTTTTCTGATATCTATACTAAAAAGTAAAAGGAGAAGACGGTAAATATGATTATTTACACCAGACTGTTTGGAAAACTTTAAACTTTCTAAAGTAAAAATAACACCATGTAAATGACGATGAATGATAAGGTCATTTGCCCCCCCCCCCCCCTAGATCATGGTTGTTTATATTCACCCAATCAATAGCTCTGGAACAGGTACTTCCGAAAATGCCAACTTTAATATGTTCATGTGAACAATTGGTTGCCTAGCAACGAACTCCTAAAATCTTAAATGCAATTACTTATTTTCTTCAAAAAATATATTGGTCGAGTATTTATCTAATTTAGTTGCATTTTACGTTTTATTACAATATATCGTCAAATTGTATTAGGTACTTAGTTTCTCAATCTGATTTTAATTCAGACCCGTCATAACTAGCATACTCGTAAAAGCTCTTGTGAGCATAACGAAACCAGAGATCTATGTTATAATTATATTGTTTGTCTCTTTAAATATCGTACCTTCACGTATTTTACTCAGCAACTGCATAACACGTGTACACAATATTTTACCTAGCAACTATACTGCTCCAGATATTTAAAGTATGCATTTGCACATATTACTTGAAAATAAATATAGCAATGTAAAAACAATTTTGATCTGAAGTGTCACTTTCACCTGCAGGAACGCTCAAATTCTAAATTTTGAAAACCAGGGATGTATAATACTTTACGACGGACTATTTAATTTGTTTTACAAACAAGTCTATTAACAGTCAGTTAATGCCTTTAAATGATTAAGAATTTTTCAACTTATATATTTCCTACTAAACTCTGACAGAACTGTATTTAACTTGATTCTCCCATTCTCAAAACGAATAGCGAAATTGGGAGAGTACAATATGTCTAAAATGGGAAACAAGTTATACCGATAATCAGATCAATTAAGGAGATACTGTTTAGATCAAGACAGCATTGAACCAAGAACACGGAAAACAATGAAGAGAATGATGCTTATGGTGAAATAGCAGGATATTAGAAATAAGAACATACTTAGCTTCGGTAAAAATTTGCATAAAGCAAGTTTACCATTGTGTTTTTACTGTTAAATAGTTCGTGAATATCAATGTTTCTAAAAAAAAAATTGAAACTAAAGATAGAAGTTTAAAGCCCTTATACAAACTAACGACTGTTTTTTGTTTGTTTGTATTCAGTCAAGAAAGACTAGCTATTATTTAATTTATAAAGTACTCACATTCACCGTTAATTGTATATGAAGTTCGAAAATAAACTAATAAAATTTAGCTGAGATAACTCTTTATATAGATGTGATTACGTGATGTCCTTGAAAAGATTCAAATCGGTATGGGAATATAACACTTGAAACCTGGAACACGGAAATGGTAGTACGATCGTATAATCTTGTATTCATTCAACCTTTGCATTGAGAAATCTAGTGAAAAAAATATATAGCTTTCGCAAAGAAATGTAACGCTTCAATCTGTGGAACATTCTCCACAAAGAGTCTATAGAGTATAAGTTCTAAATCAAAAAGTTCTGAAAAATACTTTTAATAACATCCCAGATTGGTTAAGGATTCTTGATTAAAATTGTCTTTTTACAGATTTTCATCACCGTTTTGGAGAAAAATCTGCCACTCAACATAAGTAAACAACAACCAATCACTGAATCGTTCGAAATTTTTGCCATGTATTAAAATTAAATTGAACTAAGTCTTGCAGTTTTTATTTATAGCACTATTTTAATTGTATTTACTGAATAATGTACGTAATTTAGTTACAGATAAAGAGTAATTGTTTGAGATTGTTTTGAACAAATTTATCATGTTAAGGAAGGGTATTTGTAATAAATCCAAGTCGAGAAAGGATAAAATTGTTTGAGCCGCCAGACTAAGGAAATTTCTTCTCAAGACTGGTTGCATTTTATTGTTCTTTAGTTTCAAGACTTGAAGCATTCAATGAAGCACAAAAAAGAAAAGACAAGAGAAATATACTAGCTATTAACCAATCAAAAGCAAGGATACTTATAGAGCCTTTAATGTGTAATTATGTTGCTAATTATTATTTTTTATTTTCCATTTCCATAACAATATAGCTGTAAGTTGAAAGTCGTAGGAAGGAGACATTAATTAGGTTTCTGTAACAGAAGAGAGAAAATGATGTTCGTAATAAGATATTTATAGATACTGAAAAGTTAGCACTTAGCAGATATACATATGTGGGATACTAAAAATCGAACAATAAATGGTCATTTTCTAACACCAATGTCGGAAGTTAGGGGTGGATTGAGCACTTGCAAACATGTTTAATGCAACCACATTTATTCTTTATATGACTGTCCCAAGTCAGGAAGCTGTAGTTAAATGGTTGTCTCTAGATACTGTCAGCTTGGTTTTCTCTGTTGAATTATTTCACATTTTGTCATGCCGGGTCCTTTTATAACTTATTGTACGGTATGGGTTCTGTAATTGTTGAAGTTCGCATAGTGCCCTTTAGTTGTTTACTTCCTCGTCTTTTTGTGTCTTGTGATACAATGCAAAAATGCAGAGAAACTATTGTCCTTTGGATAATTTCCATATTCGAATTTCTTTTTTGACACGGTATACTATTGATTCGTAACGTTATGCTGAATATATCTTTGAAAATGATACGGTGAGTAATGCATACATACATGTAGCAGGAGATGTATACTTATTGTTTCGAAGCATCTTGTCACATTCCGTTTTGGAAATGATGCGCTTATAAGAGGTTTTATTGTTTCTCAATTTTTCACATTGTGATAGAGAAAGAATACAAAATATAATGTATATAGGTATCGGAGGACACAGATTATCAGAAAAAACGTTTACTTTACGTTGTCCCATGTAACAAATTCGAAACATAAAACTCGTTTTTTTTTTCGATAGATTCGCGAAATTTTCACGCAACTCTTAGAAATTTCGCATGAACGTTCTATGACGTCATATATTCCAGTAACGGTTTGCATGGCTGCCTCCATCTAAAATTTTGGAAAAAACATGATGAACAGAAATGTCCCAGGGGAAATAACACGTAATTTATTAAATTGTATGCACTATTGTTTTGTACTAAATGCAAGCTCCAAAAGGTCAAACTATCAAATGAATTGAGATACATCTTCAATTAAAAACAATAGGTTTGCAAGGTCTTGCAGAAATGTCCAAAGTGAATTTTCATGCCTTCACCAAACTTTTAAGGCTAAGAAACAGAGAGTTTATTTCGGGATGAATATTTTTCGGCTTTAAATACTATACCAATAAAAAGTACTTAAATTGTAATTGGAACACCAAATTGTATTAAGATTACAAGTTTTCCATAAAAAATACGGATTAATGAAAATGTCTTTCAAGGTTGTCCGTTAACATGATTTGAAATGACAAAATCTGGAAACAGTATCAAGCTAAACGATGAAATGCATATGAATGTTTAGCAGCACTTGACGGTATTTAAGGGCATACGATACAGTAGAGATCCCTCGTTGATTTTTTCTTGAAATTTTGGTAGAAGGTAAAGTTCGATGTGTACTTTTGAAATATGCAAAGAAAAATATACCTTCATGACTTACTTTTTGAGATAATTTGGTTCGAAATTTGCATATTTGAAGGAAAAACCCTGAAATTTCATAAATAAGGACTTTTAAGGAAAGTACCAATACTTTTGAACGAACAGTCATAATTTAACCGGGTTTTTTTGTAAAATGTTTCCTTGATCCATGGCATCAGCATGCTGTAACAAGTTTACGGTTGAAATAAATAATTATATCCTAAATTCTTTTAATACAAGTGAAATAAAGAAGTTGAAAATATTTTTGCGTCTACACAGAAGTGCAGAAAAAATTCTATCGTTGATTATTTCTTAAAATTTTGGCGGAGCGTTCTTGAAACAGAATTTGATCGATTGCAAAAGTAAAAACTGGGGATCCATGTGCTTGTTTTTTCAATAAAAGCAATAAACCTTAATTTTTGCCAATAAGGCGCCAAACTAAATTGGAATAAGTTTTATTCGCAACAACGTCGTGAAATCTTTCCCGCCGTTCACTACTACGTTGTCAATTTCAGTGGTAGAGGCAAGGTGTTTTTTTTTTAAACCAATGATAATTAATAAAGCTGACTCCTCGTAAAATAGCATCATATTTGCCAAACCTTTATGAATTGTTACGAATTCAAACTTGGATAGAAAAAGTATTCTAGTAAATTACTTTTAGAAAAGAAATGTCCGGAAACAAAACGGATATACGTGTGTATATAACATGTATAATAAAAAAATTAATTTGCATCTCTGTCCGACATTAGTCATACAATTCATGTAGACAACTCAGCTTGAACATAGTTTTAATTATTCAAAAGGCCCCGACATGACAAAATGCGCAACAATTATAAAGTAAGGGGGATGGTATAAAAATAAGGACATTTGGTATGATTGCATAAGAGACAACTATCAACCATAGTTCAAATGACGACGATAAACGCTTCTTAAGATCACCCTACGGCCTTCAACACAAAAAAAAAGAAAAAGAAAAAGCCACACCGTATAAACAGCTTTAAAAAGCTTAGACATGAAAATGTGAAATAATTCAAACAAGAAAACTAACGACCTACTCTATAGGCATTACATGATTTGATTTTTTATTTGATTTTTGGTGTTTTAACGCCACTTTTAAGCACCGCTTTTGGGCTATTTCGTGGCGGCCAGTTTTTATTGGTGGAGGAAGCCGGAGTGCCTGGAGAAAACCACCGACCTTCGATAGGAAAACTAACAATCCTAGTCAATTAAGATTGGAGTCGAGTGCACCTGCACGAGCGGGGTTCGAACTCACAACCTCAGTGTTGACTGGCTAGTGATTACAGTAGTAACTACTTTGACCACTGGCATTACATGAACACAAACTCATACACACATTAAATCGGGTCAGCTTAGTCCATTACAGTGAAGTATAACATTTCATACAGCAGTCGATATTAGAGCATGAAATTTAATGATTCTGTATCAATAGATTA